CAATGGAAAAAAATATCCTCAGGTGAGAATTAACAAAAAAATTTCAGGCTGACATGAGAATTAAATGAGAGAGTGCATGAGAGTCCTAAATGGAGTGCTGGCGGAGAGTAGGAAAGTGACCAGTGAGACCTACAAATGTTAATAGATGTTTTTGTCCTGACTGCCCCAATTTCTCTCTTAATTTTCTATCAGATATTAGAGAGCCTTTTTCCTGGCTCCACAGTAATACACCCAGACTCCTTGGTCTGGGAGAGCAGAAAGTTCTCATATTCAGTCAGCCTTATTAAATTGGGAATTGCCTAAAAACACCAGTTACCTAAGACAACTGGCTGGACACAGCCAGACCTTTATAACTGAGTTTTGCATTCCAAGTTGATTGTAAGCACTATAGTTCATCTACAGGTACTTACACAGCCGGTCAAATGTGCTGTAATTGTTTGAACAGGCAGAAAGCTATACACGGTGTTCAAGAAATGTGGAAAATTGGGTGCTCCAGTGAGCCAAGTAGGGAATTAATAATATATTTAGAATTACTAATAAAATGCCTGTCAAGCAAGCAGCAACATATTACATACCAAAAAAAAAATCCTGCCTGCTATGTAGGAGGATGTTCGCTCTTCCTAAGAAGTACATATTCTTGGAAATAAAATGATTCAACCGCAGATGAAACTTCTGGTCCCTAGCATTTTCCTCCTAATTTTTCATTCATTTGTGTGTTTCTTACATCTTCCCGTGTAGCTCCACCAACCCTCCCAGACGTCAGTGGGGCAAGCAGCCTCCCAAGGCAATCTTCTGCACCTGGCTCACAGCCAAGCATCCATGTCTCAAAGCCCTGTCCGGCAGGCTTCTTCCTCCTCCTCCTCGTCCTCCTCTTCTTCAGCTTTGAGCGTGGGCCAGTTAGTCAGCAGTAAGTATCCTTTCTGGCTCAGTTAAGTCATAATGGCTTCCTTGTTGCCTGTTTGCAATGCTCTGCTCTCCTCTCCTCTGTTCTCTTCTCTCTCTCTCTCTCTCTCTCGTACTCTACCTTCCTCTCTCTTTTTTATTAGCTCAACCTCAAAGAGGAATTTCTGGCCCTGCTAAGCCAATATTTGTATGAAGTCCATGCCGTGGGCCAGATGGTTCCTTTGGGATGCAGGCCCCCGAAGCACACCCCCTCCATAAGTACCTGTAGGGACTGGTTTCCATTTCAAGTGCTTTCTGATGTGCTGAGTCAGTCCTGCCACTTCAGAAGGGAGGAACTGATCAGCTTGCAGGGCATGAGCCATATAGCTCAGAACTGAAATAACCAACAGCAGGCACTGAGCCCACAGGTCAAAATGCTTTTCTGTGTGTTTGAAGTCTCCTGCCATTCTATTTGTAGGTGGCAGAGGAAATAAAAGAGAGCGGGCCTGAGGGTGGGTAGCTGTGTGTGCACAGTGAGCTGCCTCCAGTGGCATGTGGGGGAAGCTGATGGGCTAGAGCTATCGCTGGACTTACAGTTGCTACATATTTTGAGCATGTTACTTAGTTAATTCCCTTATGTCTCAAAACCCGACTACAGAATGAATAGCACATGCAGTATATTCTGATGAGTAATAGTACATGGAGTGATTTCTCAAACGACTGTTTGAGCTTCCATTTGTAAGATTTTCAAGGCACTTTCAATATCTTACTCATTTTAATACTCACAAGGTATTGTAAGTCCTCCTTTTTAGATATTGAACCTAGCATCAAGTAAAACCTGAAAAGTGCAACCCATTTTGACCATCTTATGTCAGAGGAACCAGATTCAGTCTTAGTTGAGAGACCCTGGCACCCTGTATGACCAATATAATGGGTGACAAAGCCAGGATGATAACCCAAGACGTCTAAGTCAATGGATTGTATATATTCTATACACCAGAGCTGCTATAAAAGATAGAATGCTTACACATGAGTTTTATCCAGTGAAATTTGAATGACAAAATATAGCAAATCACCTGAATATCTTTGAATATTTTTTAAAAGCCTGGGCCCATGCCTTATAATTAAAACATAAGAGCTTTTCTCTGAGCCAATTTGAAGAGAAAAACTAGACATCTTGCATATTATGAAATATATAATCAAGCATGAAATATGCAATTCTTTTTGTCCAAGATTAAATTCACCTAATCTGCACATAGGCTAATGGCGGGGAGCCCTAACCCCATACTTCAGATGTAGTTGTTATCTAGGTTAAATTACAGGGAAAACAAAGGGTCAGTCAACCTAAACAGAAAAATAAACACATTTATTGAGCACTATGTGTACATCAGGGAACTGATTACAAAGAAATACAGAGAACAAAGCAAAATGAATGCTATGATCAACATATGTATAGGGACACTGAAGATATAGTAGATGGTTATCTCAGTTTTAGAAGCTGAGATAGAATGGAAGGACTTGCTATAGTAGTTAAACCTTAAATTGAGTTTGGATGGTAAATGGAGCAACAAATTCCTCCAAAAAGCAAGGTCATAGTTGAACCTGTGGTCAAAACCTTGGTTAATGAACAGCCCCATATCATACTCAAAGGGTTCAACAACCTATCATTGTTCCAGATGAACTGAAGTGGGCAAGTCATACAAAAATCTTCCCCACTCCAGGCAAAAGAATGCAGAATTAATGTGTTAGCAATGATAACGGGATCTTCATATGCAAAGAACACCACATCTGGGCTCAGAATTACCAGATATGCACATTCATTAGGACATCTGCACAATACCTGTTCACAGCAGCTACACAGCTTGCCCTATGTTAGACCTTGATCAGTCTCTACAGTCGTCAGAGGTGAATATACTTTCTATAAGCAGGGCTTTTGGAAAGTCTAGAAGAGTCAAACAATTGACTTGGAAAATGTCCCAAACTGGGTTGATTTACACAGTACTGCTTAAATATAGGTAGATTTGGGATTTTTTATTCTTTGCCGGGTTTGGTTTTTCAGTACACTTGTCTTGAACCCCTGATCTGTAAATTTGATTCGTAGACAACAAAGGGCTGATAGTCAATACCAGAAAAACCAAAACTATAAAATGAACGTAAAGATGCATGGTGACAGCTTGTGGCACAGAGGAACCCCTGGTTCACATAATCACAATTCACATCATTTTCCACAACCCAATGAAGTCACCATATTGCAAGTAAGCTGTTCTCCCAAATTGCATTGTATGTTCCCAAATGGTTTCTTATGTCTCAGAAATATTTGGTAAATACGTCCATTATTTGCAGTGAGAATAGCACTGAAAAGCAGATGGATGTTTACATAAGGCAGTTAATTCATGCTTGGCAGCTTTTTTAAAGATGCATATTTCTTCTATAAGAATCCCACAAGCAGAGCTTATAGAACGGTGATATTGAGAGGTGGTGATTATTCAACAACCCGTTTGACAACCCCTTACACGGATGCCCAGGCTAACAGTTGGAAGGAGTTAGATTTTAAAAACTAAACAAAACATCTGTCCTGAGCACTCAGTTCAGTATTGGCCCAGTGACCACACACCCAGATTCTACAGAGCGGGTTTGTTTTCACACCATTTGCATTTAGTGCCCATAAAAATCTTTTTACTTTTCAGCCCGTGCATTCCAGATTAGTTTGGGAAACATCATCACTATATTACAAGTCACTGCCAATTTTCAATGCCAGTTTATTCTAAATCTCCAAGGCAGTTAGACCCCATATAGGTCGATCTTCTGGCTCCTCTAACAAGGGAAAGATTCAGGGTGGACCCTGGCAGTCATTGCTAGTCTTTCTGGCCCTGTAATTAATATATTGGGCTGACTTAATCTGGAGCAAACTTCTATAAAAGGTGCCACTTCCTCTTCAGTGCAGAGAAACCCAGACCAGGTTGTCCTAGAGCTGATTGGAGGTGCTGAATCCACCCTGTGCACGATCTGAGGGCTCCCTCTGAGGTCCCATCAATACGGCCTCAGATTCATCCTTAAAACTGATACAACCTCCCAGAGCCAGGAGAATGAATGACAGGAAGCCAGATTGACACATCCCAGGGTGGAATGTCAACCTCTGAGCTAATTTGAGAGTTGAGGTGACATTCCTGGAGGGCTTCCACTTACAAAGCTTCATTTTTTTATTTTCATTTCCCTGCTCAATCAGAAAAGCGTACAGGGGTGGGCAAATGTAGATCTACAGTTGTGCGTATGCAAAACACAAGAGTTTATTCTTGTATTTTTGTAATCTTAAACTGCCTTTTGCCCACCCCCTTATTCCTTAAGGAAGAGGAACTATTCAAACAGCAGGAAAAAAACCCTCAAGAGTTTAAGACAGAAACTTCAGAATCAGAAAAGATAGCCTCAGCTCTTTTAATTAATTCAAAAAATCTTATAGACACCATCTAATGAACTCTCACAATGTGTGAAGACAAGTTACACATGTGGTGATCAGGGAAAAACTAATATTGTCCATGGGTGGGCCCCTTCTTTCCAGGGCAGGCCCCTTCTTTGCATGGTGAGACTTTTGTGGTCTTGAGACCTATGGATCAAAACCATAATAAGACATTTTGCCATCTGATTTTATGGATAAGAGCACTAATATAAAGAAAGCCAGGCAGCTCATCTCCAGCAATCAACAAATTTTACAATGTGAGACTGATTTCTCCTCCCTGGGCCTTTGTCCGATAGATCATCGCCCTGTTGCAATTTCACAAGGAAATCTATCTTATCAGTTACATACTAAGTAGAACCAGGAAAAAGACAAGAGTGGAAAATGTGTGAGAGGAGGAAGAAGGAATTCTGTCTCTGGTGTAATAAATGCCTGTGTGGGGCCTCACAGAAGCCATTGGGCTCAGTGAGACAGGCGCCCACCTCTGTGAGCCTTAGAGTCAAGTTCAATAGCAACACTGCTCAATGCACCGGGGGTGAGAGTCCATAGCTTTCTTTCCAACTCTGATTATTGTCAGTAATCTGGCAAAAAGCAACCTGCACAATCACACACACACACACACACACACACACACACACACACAGATTTAGTTCCTGGTCTCCAGGAACTAGTAAGGAGACAAATGATAAAAGCAGCAGGGGAAGAGAGAGAAATAAGGTTGAATAGATTTACATAAAATTCAGCCCAAGTCAAAAACCGGCCTGGTACTGCATGACCTAATCTGGTGGCTGTGCAGGCCCTGGGTCTGGAGTAGATGAGGGACATCCTTCCAGATTCAAGACCCACCTTTCACCTGCTAATGAACTCAACTGAATCCCATTGATCTAAAGATGGGTCTAATAGAAAGCACAACTTTCCTTCCCGCACAGGCTACTTAGCTTTGCTCAGAAACAAACTCTCTCCCCAACTCCAGACTACACTGCTCACCCCAGCCCACTGGCACCCAGATGTTTGCCACTTGCTGTATACAGAGGGGGTTGGGGTGGGGTAGAGCAAGGACTGGGTGCCTGACCAGGAGCCCTTCCCTTCTGGCCCCACCAGTCTTACACAAGTGGTAGAACAAGTTCTCTGTGGAGTGGAACCTGGTGAATAAAAGTGGCAAAAGGATTCAAAAAAGACAGTGACATGCGGAAGATGCCATGCCCAGACTTGGTCATGACAGAGCCACAGAGAAGGCCTCTGTCTGTGCGGTCCAGGGATCTGCTGCATCAGAACCCCCTATGGTACGTGTTAAAAATGCACATCCCTGGACCCCAGGTAACTCTCACACCTGCCAAATTAAGTCCACCACCTTCCTACAAGCCACTCTGTCACAAGGAAAGTCTCTGGCTTCCATTCTCTCACCCTCGGTTTTGAAGCTCCACTGCCCACGCTTGCAGGTCTGCCAAGCCCCTCTGCTTGCTCCCGTGGAGAGAGGCCAGGCCCCTCCTTCACTGGGCCATTTCTTACAAGTGTCCCTCTCTGTTCCAACCAGAGTGCTCCCAGGATTATTCTACTATAATCCTCCCATCCCACACCCAACCCCATAAGGAACCTTTTTACACTTTTTTTATCCTAATTGCCCTCCTTCCCCCATGAAATGTTAATACCACAGATATACCGCACCCCTGTTCTGTGTATATACTGTGGCCTTTTGGGGGCCAGAACCATTGTGCTAAGACTTTTCCACCTTCCCCACCACCACCCAGCACCAATCTCGCCTTGGCAATGCGAAATGGGCTCAGCAAGGCAGCAGGTCTGAGAAGGGCTTGGAGAGGAGGAGGGGGGAGAGGGGGGCGGACAGCCAGAGTCGGTTCCAGCTAACTGCTTGTTCCCAAGTTCAAATGTAGCCCTGGTGCAGCCAAATCTTCTAACGTTTCAAAAGAACATGAAAAATCTAGAGGTTGTTTTTTTTTTTTTAGAAACTTCCCAATGTTTAAATGTTGGCAAGTAATTAAAGAAATGTGTAAGTACCAGAAAAGCTGAGTTTTATTCGCTGAAAAGTTGCTCGTTGTTAACTTCTGCTCTAGGAATTTTTTAAAGGAAGAAATTAGAGGAGGGGTTCAAGGCTGTTGTGTGTGGATGAGACCTCCCAGAATCCCTAGCTAACCCTTCAAGCTGCGCCAGGCCGCTGTGCTGGTGGGATTTAATCCAGTCCTAGAAAAATTGGCTCTTGGGATGCAAATATTTCTTTCTTTTCATGATAAGAGTGTTTAGAGCCCTGAGACCAGAAGGATACTATAGTCCACCACAATCCTTAGACAAGTACTCAAAGATATTGAAATGGATGGGTTATTGTGCAGAGAGAGGACGAGAAAAACTTTTCACCTGCGCCCTAGGAATGAGGTGGAGAACAATGGAATCGGCAGGCAGGGAGAATGGCTTCGCTCCAGGCGGGGTCCAGCCGCACTTTGAAATCTTCCACCATCCCCAGCCCATGCTGTCCCCCGCTTGGTGTGTGCTTTCATTTATCCAGGATCAGTCGCCAGGGGAGGGGAGTTTCATTCTCCAGCTGTTGTGTCATTTCCCTTGGTAAGTCCTTAATTGACCGAGTTATCTGGCACCGAAGGAGCCTGCCCGCCATAGGCATTTTTATTATGTGCCCTTTCCAGGGACAAAGGCAGCAGGGTCCGTAAACTGCTTGGTGGAGGGAGGATATATTATCCTCACAGCTTCATCATAAGCATGCTCTTTCGAAGGGTTAATGTGAACATGAGAAATTAGGCAATTTTGCCATCTGTTAGCCTGGCTGCATTGGTGACCGAGTGAAGGAAAAAATACAAAATAATATTTTCTTCAAAGGGCAATTCTTAGCACTCAAGATTCCAAGTAAGACAGTTCAAATTGAAACCTTGCCCATCTTATATTTTTGCACAATATTTGGACATAGTTATGTTGCCTCCCCCGTAGCAGGTGCCTTCCTGCCCTGGCTCTTTGTTAAGCCCTAAGGAAGATGCTCTTGTAATGTGGAAGTGGCAGTGTGAGCAACCTATGGTTTTATCTGGGATAGGAATATCTTGAAGGATAACTTGTGGAGGTGCTGAGGATGGGGGCTTGGGGTGCCTCACCTGGGAGACAAAGGGAACATCATGCCATGTTGGTTTCCCCACTGCTCTGCTTGAAAGAGGACCATTTTCCCATAAACCATAAGAAACAGATGTGACTCGGATGTATGCTGACATATTGATCCTATTTTTAAAAACATCTCTACAGATCCCCAAACGGCCGCGGGTGAGGTGGATGGGGTTAATCTGGAGGAGATCCGAGAATTTGCCAAAGCTTTTAAAATCCGGCGCCTGTCCCTGGGCCTGACGCAGACTCAGGTGGGACAGGCCCTCAGTGCCACAGAGGGCCCGGCGTACAGCCAGTCAGCCATCTGCAGGTAACCCGCGCCCGCATGCTCCGCCTCTCCTGGCCGGCCTGGGCCTCCTCTGCCCTTGCAGCTCGGCTTTTCTTCTTCGGGTGGGCAAAGCCGGAGGGGTCCAGGGTGGGAACAAAGTGTGGGGCGGCTCCGTGTTGAAATGGGTGGTAGATGGGAATGAAGGTGCTGACGCAGACTTGCGGGCCCTGGTTTGGTAACTCCTGTCAACTCAGAGAACCTCCAAGGCTGCCTCCTGGGAAATACCCTACCCCAGCCTCCTCCAGGCTGCAGGTGGGTGTCGGTGCAAATGGAAAGCTGCCAGTCCTGGTGGGGGCTCATGCTCCCACCACTTCTGTGAACGGATGGCTGCCAGGATTTCCCAAGAAAACTCACCATAAAGCAAATGAACCACCTTGGGACCTCGAAGGAGCTTTTACCTCTCCTTCTCAGATACCAGTTTAAAAGCACATTTTTAAAAAAAAGAAGCACCTGCTTTACGTGGCTCCAAAAAGGGGTACTGAGAATCTGGCCTCATCTGGCCCCCTCCACCCCCCAAAAAAAATTTAAATAAATAAAGAACAGAATCCAGCCTTGGTTGTGTTCAAGTTGATCTGGGTCAAGCCGCCAGAAGCAGCCGCGCGCATGCATGTGTGTGTTGCACTAATCCGCTGTTTATGCATGAGGCAACAAAGGCACTTCGGTAAGAGCTTTTTCCTCTTGGGCAATGCCTTATGAGTCCTCCTCCATCAGGAACAGCCAAGAAACCAACTCTAAACTCATTTAAGTGGATTTTGTTCTTGGTGATCCATGAAATGCTGTCTTTTTATCTGCTCTTTATACTTTTAATGTATTCCCCAAAGGACGGAAGTGTACTTCTCCTGCAGTTTGAGACTAAGGTTATAAATAACATCAGTATGGGGTAGTAGCTTGCAGCTTACATTTTGCTCAATGATTTTCCATAAAACCCATTGATTGTTGTTAAATACAAAAAGCTCCATAGGATCCTCTCACTTCTATGGCCTCCCCTACTGTTTTTTCTTATAAGATACCTCCCTGTAGAAAATAACCTTTATTCAGTCTACACAAGGAGACTGCTGCTGGGAAATTTGTTTCAAGGCTTGTATATGTTATTCCAAACAATATGTACAGAAGCATCAACACTAACAAGCAGCATCAGTGATACGAATACTGTTGCTCCCTGTTGGGAAACATTAATTTTGGTTCCTCTTGACAGCCTTGCGATAAAGGCAGCCACAGGTTTTTAAGTTGTTGCCAATTTGCTATTGTGACTAAGGTCCTCTTTGGCTTATTTTTAGCCCTAAAATCTGATTTCCTTTTATAGGTTTAAGTGCTATCTAATGTTTTCACTGACATAGGGAGTGTTTCTTGGGCATTCCCAATCAAATATGTTGATGTCTAAAGTCTTCCCCGGGGGAGGCCAAAAAGCTATGGCTGAAATGATCAGAGACCTGGGAATTCGTTGTATAAAAGAGTATGTCGATGCCTTGACTTTTTGGCCTTTCTGTAGCTTCTGCTATTTCAGTGAGATGATTTTATGAGCTCGCTACCATGAAAAAAAAAAAGAAAAGAAAGAAAGTCTTAAAAGAAACCAAAATCTGACATAGAAACAATTCAAGTTCATTTAAAGGTGACAGGAATCTGCACACCCAGGTGTCACTTCTCCCTTCTTTGCTGCAGGGACTCCCAGGTGCTGTTTTGATAAGTTCCTCCTAATTAGAGACACAGAGGAAAAAACACCACCAATATGACTGGACACCCCTATCATAGGCTTCCTCCCCGTGCCATGGCGCTGTAAAGAGTGTGAGCTTTAGGACTTTTCTAGGGAATGACGGGAAAATGAGTGATGTGGCAATTAACAGGACAAGGAGAGCGCTGGGGAAGCTTGCCACAAGGGATGAGCTCACTAAATGACATTAAATTCATTTTTATTGAAAGCAAGTTGTACTTCCTCCCTCTCTGACCAGGACTTGAAGTTGTATTTTATTTTTATAAAATAAACAAATAACTCCTTGAACTATGCTTGGAAGTGAATGCTATAAGAATTGCATTAAAATTTCATACGATTTGCTCTATTTATCACAACATAAGATATCTAAAATGCAGCTCCAAAAATCAGATCATGGCACATAAAGGAAGCTTATCCTTTTGTGTCCTTTTGCAAGATTCCTTACAAAACATTCTCTGACTGACGAAAGCAGGTTCATTTTGGCTCTATGAAAACAGACTATCGTAATAAGATGCACTCCGCCATCAGACGGCTGTTTTCCAACAGCCCTGAACTTTAAAAGAGAGAGGAGAATTCTGTGTGCCCAAAGTTGTCAGATCAGAGGGTCGTGAATTTGGATTTAGAATAAACAAACAAACAAGAGGAACTGTCTGTTTTTGTATTTCATTGAAAATGAGTATAACTTTCCGTGAATTTGGATTTAGAATAAACAAACAAGAGGAACGGTCTGTTTTTGTATTTCATTGAAAATGAGTATAACTTTTACACCGAGATGTTAAAGCACTCTACATAATTTTACCCAAGATGCTTCATAATTTTTTTAGTCAGTGTAGCAAAGAATTGCTGGTGGCAACTGATGTACAGAAGGCCTCCCTCATTTACAGAAAATAATATCATTCAAGTACAGGTTGCAGGTATCACACACTAAACGCAGCTTGATGCCCTGGTGCAAAGGTACACTGATGCCGGGCAGGGTTTAGAAGGCACAAGGTGGCCGGAGCATATCCGGGGATGGGTGTTCATAGTACTTACAGTGTGTCCAGCTGTTTGAGTCCAGCAGTAAAGTAGCAACAGGACATGTCTGACCTGAAAAGGGAACATGTTGTTGACATACATATGGTGAAAATTGTTTGTTACCAGAGACAGAGTGAGAGAAAGGGGAGAGAGAGAGATTACAATGAGACACAGAGCTGAAGAGAGAGCTGTACAAGAAACTTGTCCTAGTTGCCACCACTAACTGTTATAAGAGATATGATATTTCTATAGTCCAATGAATGGAGGAATTAAGGAAAACATGAAAAGGGTCATTTTAAATGAAAGAATGTGAGAGCTGTTGTCTTTGATGTCACTTTCTGGTGTTAATTTCTACCTTAGAATTCTGAAGATTGGGGGAATGGTGTGGTGTGATTAAAATAAAAGCTTGTATCTCGAAAGTTTACCGGAAAAAGATCTAGGAGTTGTTTCATTTCTATTGTGAAGGCTCATGCGTCGCGCTGTCTCCACCTCCCCGGCCCCGGTCTGTGTCCGCGCGTGTGGGCTGCATGCACTGGCATGAGGCATGCGGGAGGGCGGGTGCTGGCTTGAGCGGGCACAGCTACCTTGCAGCTGGCTGAGAATCTGGAGTGAATTCGCTCTGCCAGTCAGTCAGGCAGGCAGGCAGGAGCCCACCCTGGCAGAGGACTCAGTTTAAGACTGTTCTTTCTCAATTTTCCCCCCAGACACACCATCCTGAGAAGCCACTTTTTCCTACCACAGGAAGCCCAAGAGAACACTATAGCTAGCAGTCTGACAGCCAAACTGAACCCTGGCCTTTTGTATCCTGCCAGGTTTGAAAAGCTGGACATCACCCCTAAAAGTGCCCAGAAGATCAAGCCGGTGCTTGAGCGGTGGATGGCTGAGGCTGAGGCCCGCCATCGAGCAGGTATGCAGAACCTGACCGAGTTTATCGGGAGTGAACCGTCCAAAAAGCGCAAGCGGCGCACCTCCTTCACACCCCAGGCCCTTGAGATCCTCAATGCCCACTTTGAGAAGAACACACACCCCTCCGGGCAGGAAATGACCGAAATTGCCGAAAAGCTGAACTATGACCGGGAGGTAGTTAGAGTTTGGTTCTGCAATAAGAGGCAAGCCCTGAAGAACACAATTAAACGCTTAAAACAGCACGAGCCTGCGACAGCTGTCCCCCTGGAGCCCTTAACAGACTCTCTGGAAGAAAACTCCTAAAGGGACGCCCACCAGAATCCGAGGCAAACTCCGCAGAAACTAAGCTCCATCCTTGGGACTCCACCAATAGACAAAGAAACAAACAAATACGTAATAAATTAAAAATAAAATTTTAAAATAGCCCTCGTCATCCTCCTTATCAGTAAAAGACTAAGAAACCTACCAAGTGGACAGAGTGGTTTATACATGTCCATTGGTTTTCCAAAAAAAAAAAAAAGAAAAGAATTTGTTTTTGAAAATTTTTAAACAAGGAATGCATCACACTGCAGGTGTGTGTGGTAGGCTCGTTCCCTCCCCCACCTGTCTCCCCACCGCCAGTTTTTTAATGGACTAAAAGCGAACCAAATAACCACATACTTTTTTCTGTATAGTATGAAAATGTGAACACATTTTAAGGAAAAAGAAAAACAAAACTAAACCAAAAAAAAAAAAAACGAAAAAACACACACACACAAACAAGAAATACCAACAACAAAAACTTTGATCTGTTCAAAGCGAATACAAGCCTGCCACCTGGAGGAAGGATTGCGTTCTTTCAGGTTCTAAGTGCTGATTCACTATGAAACCTATTAACCAAAGTCATTGCCAATGCGATCGTCCGTCTGCTCTTCTCTGCGTGTCAAGTTGTGTTACAAAGTTTTACGTTTGTACTTACTGGAAACCTGGGAAGCTGATTTCTCCCATCTTTCCCATCTGTTGTCACCTATGGAGTGGGTGCCATTGTTGAAGCCATTCTGTGAGGCTCACTATTTGCTTTTACTTTGTCTGGACAGGGTTCTTTTTTCTTTTCTCTTCTTTTCTTTTCTTTTTTGTTGCTGTTGTTGGGAGAGGGTGGCATCCTGGATTGTGTGCCAAAGCATTTGTTGCTTTCTTCTCACTATGACTTGTGGGTTTGAGAAAAGAAAATGGAGCTTGCACTTCTCTTTGTTCCTCCATCTCCCATCTCCCTCATACGTGGCCTCCAGTCTGCTGGAAGGCCGCAGGGTGGGGACAGTGTCTCTTCCACTCAGATCCTAGTGACATGCAGGCGAGACTCCAGAATGACTAGGGCTTTGCTCGATGAACTGTCAACAATGGCATAAGCTGTCACTGTGCTCACTGTCCACACCAGAGCTTGGGATTTTTCTCAGTCTGTCGGCCACGTACATGGAGAGCTGATCAAAACTAATTTTGTAATATAAACAAACATAAGCTGCACATTTGGTTCAATACTTACATCTGTGTTATGCTTCTGTGCAAAGCAATTTCTCTCAGAAGTCTGATAGCCAAAGAAATGTCTCAAGATTTCAGTCAACATACACACGTAGCATGCACACACCCACATGAACACACACACAAAGGAAATGGGCCAAAAAAGAAAGATAGAGTGACTGGATCTTTAAAGCCCATCATGTACCCTGTAAATCCCACCTTTTCTGCTACTTCTTTCATTCCAATAGCAATGGCAGACTTTTCTCGGGGGGTGGGGTGAGTGGTCAGTTATTCTTGGAATATATAAATGAAGCAGAAAGTTGGCAGACAAACTTAAACCATTGGAATTGGGCTCTGGGTTCTTGAGGGGAAAAGAAGTTTTAACAATGAAGTGCCTCCTCTCAAAGGAAAAATACACAGTGGCTTATCTACCACATCAGAATAGCCTTCACTATTAAAACTTAGGGATTATTTCATTTTTCAAAATAAGTTACTCAAAAGATCTGTGGGCCAAAATGACCTAACAAGCCAGAGGAGAAGCAAGATGAGAGGATGGCTGTGCACTGAGCACTTGAAGCCTGTGGTTGGTATTCTCTACAGGTACAGGCAACAGGTGTTGCGTTAAAGGAGCAGGGAAAAGGAAACCATCAATATGCCTGCTGTAAAATGTAAATATTACCGAATAATTCATTAATAAGCATGCCCATGCACTCTCTACAAGTAAATTGTAAAAGGAAAAAGAGAAAGCCCAACTCAAGCTGCCCAACTGATGAGAAATGCCATGTTCCCTCCCTGATGAGGGTTTGCGTCTCTTCTGGTAGCCCCTTTGCTGGTTGGGTAAATGCAATGGTTTCATTGTCCCCCTTCCCCGGATGATTCATGCAGCAATCGGGACATCGCCAGCAAGGAAACTTTAAAAGAAAAAGCCTGGAGGTGGAAGCGGTCGCTTGCAAAGGTGTTTCCATTTTGCCAGTCTGATACTAATTGGACCACAGCTGATCAATCTTCAATGGTAATCACATCATGGTACCCGTTTCGCCACCTCCAAAACTGTACAAATACCAACAACCCAGAAATCCAAAAGTATACGGATTAAACAGATTATGTATTCTCCAAGACCTGCTCCAAATTCCACCAAGAAAAGCTCCCGAAGAAAACTTAACAAGATAACATAACAGATGATGAATGCTCAATGTTTAAACACGTGCTAGCAGCAGTGACATAAGGCCTGCTCAGTTTCAAGATCTATAATTGGGAGGGTACAACGAGGACAGTGAAGATATAAAATAAAAGTAGTCTTCCAGAATGGAATATAAAAGAAATATATTTATCCCACAGTCGTAAACCCATTCATTTTTTTATAGTTTTATAATTTTGTATTGTTTTATAAATTATTTATAAGGTGTTGTAATGCTTCTTATATTGATTTTTTACAGATAAATTTTTTGCTACAAGGCATAAAAAGGTGCCTGAACAGATTCTTAAGAATATCAATTATATTGTGTATACAAGTCTTCTGAACCACACCTATTGCTTAATTTTATTAAGACATTTCTTATTTTCACTTGTAAACAACTTCATAGGCCAATAGCATTTAAGTGTTTTATATGTTTTCATGAACTGAAGGTAAAGGTTGCCACTAACAAAAAATAAAAGCCACTTTGGGCATATGTGATTGTATTTCACGCTTCAATATTTTTCTTACATATTTTTAAATTATTGTCATCTTCATTTTCTCTATTGTTTGATGAAAAAGAGGAACAACTGGTGTTATATTTTACACTTGTTTTGTGGGAGTTTTTTTCAACCAGAAAACATTTTGAACAGTTGAGAGTTTTAATTGCATTGTAAGGTTTTGGTTTCACGATTGTAATCACATAAATACACATTCAAGTGTGTGTGTGCGCGCACACACACAAACACACACACACCAAAAGAGAAAACAAAAAGGCAAAAGGAGCTAGGAAAAAACAAACAAACAAACAAGTAGAGGCGTATCAAAGAACTCAAGCTATAACCAAAAAGAAATTGCGAAATGCCTTTGCTCATCTTCTCTATGCTGGACCAAAGCTCAATATTTGTAGGTATATGCACATTGTATAGATATGGCTAAATGTTGCTGACAATCTCGCAATACTAAACTGTTCCTATTTTAAGAAAAGAAAAAAAAAGTACAAACTGTTCATCAATGTTTTACCTCAGCACTCTACTTGTACCAGTTAATGACCAAGCTTAAACAAATGGAGAAAAGGAAATTGATTTTCATTTAAATGTTTGACTGTAAAATCTGTTTGGATAACATTTTGTAATGAGCTTTTTTGTCATGTGATTTGTTTGTCTTCAACTTGAAAGTACGTGAGGCACATTTGCTTAATTGTTGTTAAGAGAGTGATTTTTTTTTTTGTCCTGCGTGCTATGATCTAGACTGGTCACCAGGGTCCCTGACGAGGCACCACGAAGGAGCCGCCTCCCCTGCCTGGAGCAGGCAGAGGCTGGAGGACAGGAAAACAGACTGGGTTGTTTTGAATAATCATCATGATGAGAAGTTGACATGATGGACTTGTGACCAAGAAGCCAAACTGGATATTTAAAAGCTCCTTATTTGCTCTAACATTGAAACCAAAGCTGATTTATCTGCACAGGTTGCTTAACGTTAAAAAGAAAAAAAACTGACAAAACTGTACTTAATCTAGAGCAATATCTGTATGGTCAGTAAAGCTGCACTTTGTGTATTTCTTAACAGCTTCAGATCTGTCACTTTTAATTTGTACCATAAAAAATAAAGAATTGTTTGACATGAGCTTCTAGGCTAGCTGTGTCTTAAACTCATATATGTCATTTACATTGTAGGTATGTAAATTAAGAATATGTTACAACCCCAGATGTTAAGGAAAGGAAGGGGTTAATGTGATTATTTGAAACGAAATACTCTATGAATTAGGACTGACTCCTTTGGTGGCAAGTAACAGAAACCCAACACAAACTTTGTTACACAAAAAGAAACTAGGTTGTTTGACTTGGCTGGAGAGTCTGATTGCGGACCACAAGACCAGCTGGATGCAGTGGTTCCAAAGACGCCATCAGCCTGTCCTGCTTGGCTTCTTTCTCAAAGACCCCAGACGTTGTCATACATCTGTCTCTAAAGTGTATGTTAGGCTAAGCACTGTGTTGGGGGATGGTCTAATTGAATAGGCCATTCAAGGTCACAGGCCCAGCCCTGTCTGTGGTCTAGGGTAAGGGGCCTCATGATAACAGCCGCCCCGGACCACAAGGATGAAGGAGGATGTCGCAATGAAAAGTCAGAAGACGGCAAACGAGTAGGCAGACAAACCCAGAGCCATCGCAGTCGGCCACTAAGACCCAGCTGTGTGCCAGGTGTTGTTGAGAACCCTGCTGTGGGAAAGAGGTTTTGCTACTCTTGGCATTGCCTGTCATCACATATTCTGGGAAATTTAGAATTTAAAACATGTTTAATGTGAATGGGAGGGGTGAGTTAATGTTGCTAGATAATTTGCTAATTCAAAAGTAAAATGGGAGCATCTTGCTAAAAATACCAATTAAAAAGTTTTTAATGAGGATCATAATCTTCATACTTTTAATGAGCTTTAGCAAATATTTCTCATGCTATATAGAGACCCATATATCAACTTCATGTTATGATTGATAACAAGTGCTTTGGAGCAAGCAATGGGACCAAAAATCTGAGTGCCCATACATTATAAACGGTCCAGGAAAGTGGCCAGGAAGCTCCCAGAATGACTTTAAGAGGAGCACAAAGATGCTGATGCTTCTACTTTCATGGGTGAAAAATGCAAAATCAAGTCATTTTCAAGCTTTCTTTCCATCTAAAGTACTCTAAAAATATTCTGGGTGAAGGTATTGCCTATGATAATACATATTATTACCCTAAAATATCTTCTTTTAAAAAGATAGCCATCAGCCCTGGCAGGTGTGGCTCAGTTGGTTGGAGTGTCAACCCGTGTGGAAGGTCTGGGTTCAGTTTCCAGTCAGGGCACATGCCTGGGCTGTGAGCTCGATCCACAGTGGGGGCGAGTGTGGGAGGTGATCTATCCATGTGTCTCTCCTACATCGATATTCCTCTCTCTCTCTCTCTCTCTCTCTCTCTCTCTCTCTCTCCTTCCTTCCCTCCCTCCCTCCATCCCTCCCCCCTCCCTTCTTCCCTCTCTGAAATAAATTTAAAAAATAAAAATAATTTTAAAAGATAGCCATTAATCAATTAGTTTCATATTCCATAAATATTTGCTAAGCATTTCATATGTGCCAGAAACTTTTATGTGTTAGGGACCCAGAAATAAAAATTTTAAAAAATGAATCCTTGCCTTCAAAAAACTCATATTCATTGTGCAAAAACCAGTAATATTTCTCCAGAAATTAAAATTATCTCATGTTTCTGGTACTACAGCATTTCACAAATAAAATCAATTTCCGAATTAAAATGATGAGAAGCAGTTCTGAGGCTGACTTCGAAACAGTAAATGAATGGTTAGAAGTAGCCTAGGTTTACAAGTCAATCAGCAGTATCTATTTTAAATGATTTCAAAAGCCATTCCAATAATAATTTTCCACTAAGCCAACCATATACACATAATCTATTTAATGGCAAATATAGCGAGACAATGGTTGATAAGTTTAATCAAAAAAATCTATGATTGGAAAGAGTTCAAAAGCAATCGGTCACAAAGTAGATGAAACCAGCTCCCTTACTAACCCAAGCAGGTCTGGACTGCTCATCCATTGTCCAAGCAAACAGCCCTTCTGACCCATTTGGCTTATCTGCTGTACCATGAGGAAAGTCCTGGTCAGGGGAAGAAGACATCTGAGGTTTCTAGTGTAGTGAGTGAAAATCTATCTAAACAGGCTTCTCCTCTCCCTAGTCCAGCCGTGGGCAAACTACGGCCCGTTTGAAATGAATAAAACTAAAAAAAAAAAAAAAAAAAAAGACCGTACCCTTTTATGTAATGATGTTTACTTTGAATTTATATTAGTTCACACAAACACTCCATCCATGCTTTTGTTCCGGCCCTCCGGTCCAGTTTAAGAACCCATTGTGGCCCTCGAGTCAAAAAGTTTGCCCAGCCCTGCTAGTCCCTGGCTTTCTACTTCTCTCTTTTTCTTTTTTTGCCCTTTTAAATTTTTAAAATTCTATTTTTTAATTACAGTTTAAAGTCAATATTATTTTATATTAGTTTCAGGTGTACAGCACAGTGATTAGACAATCATATGCTTACAAAGTGGTCCTCCCAATATTTCAAATACCCACCTGGCACCATACATAGTTATTATATTACTGACTGTATTCCCTAAACTGTGCTTTACATCCCCGGGACTATCTTGTGATTACCAATTTGTACTCCTTTTTTTGTTGTTTGTTTATTTTTATTGTTGAGACTATTACAGATGTCCATCATTCCCCCCCCCCCTTTGCCTCTCTCAACCCAGCTCCTGCCCCACCCAAGGCCTTCAACCACATTATTGTCTGTGTCCATAGGCTATGCATATATTCATTGAAGTTCTTTGCTATATCTCCTCCACCCTCCCCCCACCCACTTTTCTCTGAGATCTGTCAGTCTGTTCCATGCTTCCATGCCTCTGAACCTATTTTGTTCACCAGTTTATTTTGCTCATTAGATTCCACATATGAATGAGATCATGAGATTTTTGTTTTTCTCTGACTGGCCTATTTTGCTTAGCATAATAATCTCCAGGTCCATCCATGTTGTCTCAAAGAGTAAGAGATCCTTCTTTTTTATAGCTGCATAATATCCCAGCTTTTTACCCACTCATCTACTATTGGGCACTTGAGCTGTTTACTAGAGCTAGAAAAATTATAATAGAAAGTTAAACAGACTGAATGTTCTAAAAATTAATTTGGTTTTAGAAGGAATAAATACCCAGAAGCAAATATAAGGCTCCTAGGACCACCTTCTTTCCCTAATGATGGTTGTTTGGTGATCCTTTCACCTCAAGGATCTCTCACATTGAGCTGTAAGTCAAGATAAGACCACAGAACGGTCACATGAACTGCTGTTGTCATATTTTCACCTCATAAAATTAATTTATGTTTTTAATCCAAATGCAGGATTTTGTATGCATTCCTGTTTAATTTCATCTCGTTAGTTTGGGCCCACATCCCAGTCCACCAAGGTGTTTCTCGTATTGATTTGGTCACTTAATAAAATATCTGCTTGCTCTCAAAATTGAAGGCCAACATTTTGCAGCTCCTGAGTGGATGTCTTCATCACAAGTTAAAGAAATCATCTATAACTTTCTTAGATTAAACAGGACGACTTATTGAGAGGGAACTAGGAC